TGGGAAGGAAGGTTGGGCAATCTACTTCTGTAGTGATACTGCCTCGGAAACCCAAGGAAGGGTCGCTGTGAGTCGAGTCTGACTCCACGGCACATAACAACAACAGCAGCAATAGTTGTACCTTAATACCGTAATTACTTAAAATTATTTGTTAATTTTTAAGCACTTAGACTATTTATGATTTTTTGCTATTCTAAGTAGTAAACAATCATCTGTAACTACATCTCATTGTTTCCATAGGATAGATTTCTAGAAAGACTAGTGACAGAGTCAAAGGATTTAAATATTTCAAGACTCTTGATACGTGGTAACAATATTGCTTTCCACAATAACAGTTTCAGAGTCTGTCCCAATCTTTAATCATGGGTGTTAATGTTTAGAGAATCCAGTTGGTCAAACAAAAAAGTATCTCTTTGTTTTAATTTACATTTATTTGGCTAGCAGGCCTGACCTTTGCACATTTGTTTTTTAATGTCTGATGGGTAAAGATATAAAACACTCTGCTAATGATTCCTCTATTTATATCACTAGCCTAGACTTCTGAGCTTCAAATTCATACTTCCAACACCTTACATGAGTATTTCACAGACGTATCAAGCTTATTGCTCTAAATTGAGCCTTTGATTTTTTTAACCCCCAAATCTGTCCCCATGCCCAAATCTTCACCATCTTAGTAAATACCACCCCATTCACCCAGATACTTAAGCCAGAAACCTAAGAGGTAGCTTCATTTCCTTCCTTTTTCTGAATCCTCACATCCAGTCCATCACCAAATCCTGTCAACTCTAACTATAAAGTGTATCTTATATTCTGTTTCTCTCCATGTTTACTATCATATCTTAATCTAGGCTGCCAGTGTTTCTCATCTGAGATAGCCAAACTACTTACTACAACCAAACCAAAACCAAACTCACTGCCATTGAGTCGATTTTGACTCGTAGTGACCCTCATTGGGTTTCCAAAGCTGTAAATCTTTACAGAAGCAGGCTGCCTCATCTTTCTTCTGCAGAGCAGCTGGTGAATTTTAACCACTGACCTTTATGGTTAGCAGTCAAATGCCTTAACCACTACACAACCAGAGCTCCTTACTAACTAGATAACACAATGCAATGTGCGCCGTCGAGTCGGGTCCAACTCATAGTGACCCCTCCTTGGGTTTCTGAGGCATTATCACTATGGAAGTAGATTGCCAAAACTTCCGAGGAGTGGCTGGTGGGTTTGAACCACCAGCCTTCTGGTTAGCAGTCAAATGCCATAGGCACTAAGCCACTAGAGCCCTGCATAAACTGATGCCTGCCTCTTCAATGTCATTGCTTGTCACCCTGCCTTTTTCACTAGACTTTAGCCATACTGGCCTTTCAGTTCTTTGAAACAGACCCAGCTCCTCCTTTTCCCTGCAGGGTCTTTGTATATGCTGTCCCCTCAGTCTGAATGCTCTTCAGATGGTTAATACTTGATCCTTTATGCCTCAGTTTAAATGTCTCTCCTCAGAGAGGCCTTTCCAGACCAGTCTCTTTCTCTTTATGGCAGTAATCTCATTTGCAACTGTTTCATTTATGTGTCTTTCTGGTTTCTGTCTCTCTGCATTACTAGAATATATACTCCATGAGGGTAGGAGTCATTTTTCTCTTGCTCCCTGTGTTACCTAGCACAGAACCTGGTGTAAGACGAAGTTGTTGTTGACGAACAGGAGGAATAAATACAAGCAGAATCCCAAAGATAGGGTAGTTTGAAGTATGTGCGGGGAATGGAAAACAGTCTGGTTTGGCAGAAACTAAAAATACTGTGGTCTGAGGATATTGAAAAGGAAGAGAGGCAAAAAGACAAGTTAGCATGTGATAATAGTGTTTCAACATGGATGAAGTGATAAAAATGGAGTTCGAGCTATCAGAGATAAT